CGCAGGTCACGTCGGAGCTGGACACGCGCGCGCGCTGGAACCAGGCCCAGAGCGGCCGCGCGCGGCAGTCGCAGGCCCAGGGGTTGGCGTTGAGCCGCAGGAACTCCAGGCTGGGGAGGTCGGCCAGCGCCTCGCCGGGCAGCGAGGCCAGGCTGTTGTTGAACAGGTAGAGGATGGTGAGGCGGCTGAGGCCGCGGAAGGCCGCGCGGTGCACGCCCTGCAGCCGGTTCCCGTGCAGCAGCAGCCGGTCCAGGCTGCCCAGGCCGCGGAACACGTGCTCCGTGAGCAGCCGCAGGCGGTTCCCATGGAGGAAGAGGTGGCTCAGGTTGGCCAGGTCCGCGAACAGGTCATCCTGGGCGTGCGGGGGGGGGGGGGAACGACAGAAGACAGGGGGGCTGAGCTGGGGTGGGGTGAAGGGGGGCCCGCCCCCGGGCCGCGTTGGGGAGACAGGAGTGGGGACCTGAGCCCTGAATCCCAGTCCTGCCTTCTTCTCTCTAATGATCTCTTTGGTGGGGGGTGGGGAAGCAAACTGGTTCTTTACCCTAAACCCAGCTACACCTGTAATCCTAGCCGCTCAGGAGGCTGAGACCTGAGGATCCTGGTTCGAAGCCAGCCAGGGCAGGCAAGTCCATGAGACTCTTGTCTCCAGTGAACCACCAGAAAACCGGAAGTGGCGCTGTGGTTCAAGTGGTAGAGCGCTCACCTTGAGCAGAAGAGCTGAGAGACAACGCCCAGGCCCTGGGTTCAAGCCCCACGACCGACCAACAACTAAACAAAATACTATGAACCCTGCCAACTTGGGGTTTCCCAGCTGGCAGGTCTGGGGGTAAACAGCCGGAGAATCTGCCTCTTTCCAAGTTACCTGGTGATGGGGTTGGCCACACTTGGAGAACCTCTGGTTTCATAGATGAAAAGATACTATGCATAGATACACACAAACCTCTGAACCCAAGTAGGGAATACACAAGGGAAGAGCCAGTGGTATAACCCCTTTGAGCAACTAACTTACACTGTAATAAAATGAATACCAAGAAGCCCGCACTTGTTTTTTTTTTCCATGGGGAAGGTGAGGTTTGTGGGGAGGGGGAGACAAATGGAGAGAGGAAGGGTGAGTGACTGCAGTCATAATATTCAATGTGCACATGTGAAAACAGAATCAGGTAATGTGAAGTGGGGTGAGTGGAGTGGGAAAGAGAGAGGAGAACTGTGGAAGGTGACATCGATCATTATACTAGCTATGGTGCTGATGGCTCATACTCAATCCTAGCAGCTATTCGGGAGGTTGAGATCTAAGGATCGAGTTTCAAAGCCAATTGGGGCAGAAAAGTCCATGAGACTTTTCTCTCCAATTAACTACCATAAATAAATAAAAAGGCCAGAAGTGGTGCTGTGGCTCAAGTGGTAGAGCGCTAGCCTTGAGCTGAAGAGCTGAGGGACAGTGCCCAGGCCCAGAGTTCAGGCCCACGACCGGACACCCCCCCTCCCAAAAAAAAAGCTCAGGGATAGCATCCAGGCCCTGAGTTCAAGGCCCAGGACCAGCACACACACACACACACACACACACACAACTGTTTAATTGGACTCATAAACTGATATATTGAATTAGAATCCCTTAGTACAACTATTTAAATATGATGATGGTGGTGATAATGACAATAAAGTGAATATGGCTTGGAAAAGCATACAGACTGTCGAACCAGACTTTCTGATTTCAGATCCTGACTTCACTGTCATTTGGACAAGTCACTCTGTGTCTCTGTGTTTCCTCATCTGTAAAATACAGAGATCAAATGAAGAGCCATGTAGCGAGGTGTTTGGAAGAAAGTCCCTGAGTGGGAGGCATTGGATGAGTTAGCCATTCTTGGTAACTTGGCCAAGTCAGTACTCTGTCCAAGCCTGTGTTCTCATCTGGAGGGGAGTATAGCTACCTCGAGGGCCTGTTCTGAAAATTGAAGAAGACAGTTCACATGAAGTTCATGAGTGTAGTCTGGGCACAGTGCCTGCACTCTGGGGATTTGATCCAAAGCCCGCAGGCTTAGGGGCTCAGAATCCAGCTTGCATTGCCCCCCACTCCCCAGTTCTAGGCAACTATTTAACCTGATTGAATCTCAGTTTCCTTAATATGTGCAACCGGGAGAAAAACACACCAACAAAAAAACCACCCACAGCACTCAGGATTAGATACTCTAGAGCTATGGAGGTGACAGGCCTGGAAGAACAGCCAGCCATCAGTTACTAGTGGGTATCAGGACTTTAGGGGCTCAGTTAGAATCCAGGCCCATCTTATTTATTTCCTTGAAGGAAAGAGGCGGCTGGGTCAGACACCGACTCCAGCGGGGACAAATTCAGAAGCAGCTGAGTTGTCCTTTAAGAGAAACTTTTCTCACCTCCCCCGGGGTGGGGGGGGGGAGTCATGTGAGCACTGGGAAGACCTTGGAATTATGCTTCAGCATTAACACGTGTGGGTGTGACCTGTGGTGATGGGGGGGGGCGGCCCGGCCTCTCCCTGTTAACCTGGGAAATCTGACAACCAGCTGACTCGGCAGCTAGTCCTTTGGGGTTCACTAGCCCAGCCCACTTTTTACAGAATAGTAGATAGGGAGGTTCAGAGCCAGCAAGGGCTTCTTGGCTGAAGGAGCAGCCAGAGCCCCGGTCGGTCAGTGGCCTGACTGCGCTGCCCAGAGGTTCTGTCCTTCCCACCTCGCTGCTGTCAGCAGGTCCTGGGATGGCTGGTTCTCAGGGAGGCCAGCACTCTTTCCGCTTAGGCCAGCGGACCTGCTATAGCTCCTGCCTCCCCCCCCCTCGCCTCCCAGGACAGGGTCTGGTCTGTGAGTCTCAGGTTGGGGGGGGCGGGCGTTGACTCCCAGCCCACACCCACAGCCTCCACCTTCCTGTGCTCCTGCGTGCTCTCGCCCCCTCCCATCTGCCTTCCGCCCTCTCTGCTTCAGGAACTGAGCCTGCCAAGAACCCTCCTCTTGGCCACATTGAGATCCGTCCCCCTCAACCTTCTCACTGCCTCTGACACCAGCGTTCTCCACCCCCAATGCCACCGCCCCCCCCCCATCCCAGCTCAGGTTGCTCGTCATACTTCCTTCTATCCCTCCCCAGCTGGGCACTTCCGTAGGCTCAGCCTGGCCCTAGCCATGTCCTCTTCTTCCAGGCTCACCAAGAATGAACTCTTATCCTTTTGCTCAAGACCTACTTAGGGTTCCTTTTTCCTTTTTGGTTAATGGATTGCCCAATAAGGGTGAGATGTATCAGAGCCGAATGTTCGGAGGATCAATAAAGGAGGCAGGCAGGTCACCACCCTGTTTAGGCGCTCAAGATGGTCAGGAAAGGGAGGTTCAGAAGACGAGGCCACTCAGGTGCCTCTGATCCACAGCCGATTCCAACCCCCTCTTTGTGTCTCTGCAAAAAGTCCTGCTCCACCCCTCCCAGCGCCTCAGCCTTGGGGTGGGGTGGGGGGGGCTGCCCCTCCCCGCCTGCCCCCTTCCCCCCATCCAAGCTGTTGCCAAATCCCACCGCCACTTCTGGGCTGCAGCTCTCAAATCCAGTTCTTCCTCTCTGTGCATTAATAAGCTCTTGACTTTCACAGCCCCGGCCTTCCCCCCTCTCCTCGTTCTCTGGGCCCCTCCCTCTGGACAGAGCTGGCTGCTGAAGCCATCCTCTTCCATTTCAAAAACCACATCTCCCTCGCCTCCCGCCTGGCTGCTTCACAGCTTTCTGCATCCATTTGGAATCTTAATACAGCCATCCCTCCCTGCCGCCCCTCCCCTCTGCCCTTCCCTGGACAGCATCCTGTTCTCAACCTTGCCTGGCTCTCTCCAACCTTCCAGCTCCTGGCCCTGGCACCCGTCAAATCAGCTGCCAGGCTGTGTGACCTTGCGCAGTTCCAGGCACCTGTCTGGGCCTGGGTGTTTTCATCTGTGAGACAAGTAACCCTGAGTAATTGATCTTTAAGGTCCCCCCACCCCTCCCCTCTCCCAGCCCCGCATCTGCTATTTATGTGAGTCTGTGAGCTCTAGAATGTAGCTCACTCATTCAGCAAAGCTGTTTGGCGGGCGTACCCTGTCCCAGGCATCCCCCGCTCGGGGCTCACCGGTCCATGGCTGGTGGTATTGTCATCATCACCAGCGTCAGGCTGATGATTTACTTAGGGTTCTCACCATGTGCCAAGCCCTGTGCTGCACTGTTAGTCATCAACTCCGTAAGGCGGATGTATGATCACCTCCATTTTCAAGACTAGGAGAGGGAGGAGGGCCCAGAGAGCGGAAGAGACTTGCGTAGAGCCCAACAGTTAATGTAGATGTAAACTTCAGAGATAGGGCTCAGGACAGCTGAGCTCTGGAGCCAGAGACAGCCCAGCGTCCCTTACTAAAGAGCTGGTGACTTAACTTTGCTGTGAAATATTCAACAATAGCCACCCTTCGATGTGGACGGAGGCCTTTTTAAAGCAGCACCTACTTTAATCACAACATTCTAGTCTACCCCAAGAGACATTGTCTCCATCGCACAGGCTCCGAGTAGTTGAGTCACTTTCTCAAAGCCACAGGGCGAATGGGAGGTGCAGCTAGGATCCACACTCCCGATCTGCTTGAACATAACGCTTGCTCCTAACCATTACACAGGCCACTGCGATAACTAGAAGAAAGAATGAACATCTTTATCGCCTGGCTCCTCTCCAGCAGGAAATCGGCTCCACAGACCAGCATACTATTCCCTTCAACCCCCGCCCCCACCTTCCCCCAGAATCCCTGGCACCCCGCACACTGTCTGGCATGAAGTTAGGTGCTCAGTAAGTATCTGTTAGTGAATGAACTTGCCTGGCACTGTGCCTGAAACCCAGCACACGGTCTGTGAGCACCTTTGCCTCCTCCCCTGTCCACCTCTCCCTGCCAGACCCCTTGTGAAGCCTCCTCACAGGGTAGGCCTGGCGCCATCTTGGGTCACACCTACACGCCCGTAGATCTCACCGCAGCCCACGTTTCCCCACCTGCCTGTGGCATCTCTCAGCTTAGTTCCCCCGGGGCAGTTCACAGGCGGGGGCTGTCTCTCTTTCCTCCTCTATACAGGGCCCAGGTGTGAAGATGCTTCCTTCCCATGATGCTCTGGGTCACCCATGTCAGGGGTGTACAGACAAGCATTTCCCATCTCAGAAGACCCCACTGTCTACCTGTGGCCCCTTCACCCTGGACCTTTGCTGACCCCACAGCCGGCTGATCATTCATGGGCCCATGCGTAGATGGATGATCAGGTCATGAGAACGTGATTTATTTAGCACTGAACTCCATGCAGTGCCCTCCTCCTTCCCTCCCTCCCTCCCTCCTCCAGCTGCTCTTTGTGGAAAGCATCGGTTTTATTACTCGCCCAGTGTATAGAAGAGGAAACTGAGGTTCAGAGCTGGGAAGTTAAATCAGGACCTCGGGAACAGTACCAATTCCCATACCAGTAGCAGGATTGGGAATTCAAAAGTACAGACTGAACATCTCTAAACAGAAAATCTGAAATCAGGGCAAGGGGGGTGGTGTGAGTAGAGAGTACCTGACTAGCAGGCCCAAGGCCTTGAGTCCAAACTGGCTAAAGCAAAACAAAACAAACAAAAATCTGGGGAAAAAATGCTCCAAAATCTGGTTTATTATTATTATTATTTTGGTGCCCATACTAGTGTTTGAACTGGAGCCCAAGATACCTCTGGGCACTGTCTGATTTTTCTGCTTTAGGCTGGCACTCTACCACTTGAGCCACAGCTCTACTTCTGGCTTTTTGATGGTTGACTGGAGATAAGAGACTCATGGACTTTCGTGCTCAGGCTGGCTTGGAACCGTGATTCTCAGATCTCAGCCTCCTGCATATCTATGATTCCAGGTGTGAGCTACTAGTGCCTGGCTTAAAAATCAGAATCTTTTCCAGCACAAGCATGATGTCACAAGGAGTCCACAACATGAAATTATTAAAATGTATCTAGTTACCTACAGGCTATGTGTATAGATATATATGAAATGTAACTGAATTTTGTACTTATACTTGGGAGGTCCCACTCCCAAAATATCTCATTACAAATATATGTATAGTAAATTCACTCAACATATTTGCACACATATATGCAAATACAAACAAATATATGCAAATACCCCAACGTCCAAAAAACTCTGAAATTTGAAACACTTCTGGTCCCTAGCATTCCAGATGAAGGGGACTCCACCAATAACAACAATGACAGTGTCACCCGCTTGGCTTATGGGCCTGTGTGAAATACATTTCCATCTTGCAGAGAATGATCAGTAAACAGGGTCATGATGGCCAACTTAGAAGTGAGGATGTGGACATGTGTCCAAAGCCATAAAGGAACCACTGTGTGAATGAATCTAGGTCTGGTAGATTCAAAGGATGGTGTTTTATCAGAAACCAGCTCATGCAACTGCACTTTGGAGCTGGGGGAGGGGGGAGAGGAGACACCTACCATCCCCCGTGAAGTGTGGTTGGACTAGGCAGGTCAAGAGCCAGCCCCCCTCACCTCCGCAATGGCCTCAGGCCTTTCCAGTCCCATGTCCCTGCCATCCGTATCTGTCCCAGCTACCAGCGTCACACCGTGCAGTAGTCCAGGACTTCTGGCCTCCTCATTCTTAACAATGGCATGGGAGGGGGGGGGGGAAACTCCTCAGCAAGGGAGTGAGATGAGGGGCTGACTGTGCTTTGGTGGCCCTGTGGTCCCAGGCCAGTTTAGAAAGAAAAGAAAGGGAAGGAACCTTCTGGAACCTTCCCACGGTCTCCATATAATCCTTGAACTTGACCCAATTCTCCAGGATGAAGGTTCAAGTTGGGGCACTGCACTTGAGACCAACGTTAAATAAGTCTCACTTCCTTTTCTCTTTCAGATAGTATTTTAACAAGCATTTATACAATGCGTACTGAATGCCAAGCACTATTCTAAGTGCCTCACAAATTATTCATGCATCAAAGGCTTATAAAGTGCCCAGGATTTCCCATTGTACAGATGAGGAAATCGAGGCCTGGGTTAAATAAAATGGCACGCACTTGGAAATGATGGGGTGGGTGCCTGAATGTGCTTTACACAGTGCCTGACTCAAGGGTGGTACTGGCTGCAGTGGTCACTGCTCTATTTTATGACAACACATGATATATTTTCCCAGCATGCTAGGCATTTTGCTGCCTTGCCTTCTCCACTAGATTCCAGACACAAAATGGGACAGGTGCTGGTGGCTCATGCCTGTAATCCTAGCTACTCAGGAAGTTAAGATCTCAGGATCAAAATTCAAAGCCAGCCAAGGTCTGGAAAAGTCTGTGAAACTCTTATCTCTGATGAACCAGAAAAAAAAAGCCAGATGTGGAGGTGGGGTTCAAGTGGTAGAGCACCAGCCTTGAGTGGAAAAAGCCAAGAAGAGCACTGCTAGCCCTGGGTTCAAGCCTCAGTACTGGCACCAATAAAACAAACAAACAAATAACTCAGTCTTGGTGGAGTGCCTTGTCTGCTGCTAGATTCCCAACCAAGCACCACCTGGGTGCTCAAGAAGAGTGTTAAGTGATCGCTTTGGCTCTTAGCAGATATCTCATCAAACCAGACCTGATTTTCCAGCTAGTAGATTGATTCCATTAGGCACAAGCCTGGAGGGGGGAGGAGGGAGGGAGGAGTAGGGGAGGGAGAGGGGGAGGAGGTGGCAGCACCCTCCAGGTCTCCTTAGGGTGGGAGAGGAAGAGGGCTGGAATCCCTCATTCCCCTCCACAGCTGGTGGCTGTGCAGCCAAGAGAGATTTTCTCCTTGGGTGGTTTGTAGGGTGTGCTATTGCTTCCTGGGGAAATGGAATAGGAGGCTTTGACTGTCAGGCAGTCAGTATAACAATAATAAACAATAATTAGATCAATAATAATAACAATAAATAACAATTACTGTTATTCCTTCTTCTTTTTTTTTCTTTCCAGGAGATCCATTTTTCCAGCTAGGTAACAGAGTTTTGCCTCTTTTTTTTTTCTTTTTCTTTTCCTGTGCACTGAACTGACAGAGTTGGAGAACTGGAATCTATAAAGGGCTGGACAGGGGGCTGGACAGGATGGAAGGTTCAAGGAGATCCTTCTTGCCCTGTTTGCCTGCGAAGTGGGAAGATCTGGGGTTGGATGGGGAGACCATCTGTAAAGGCCACTGGTCTGGGGAGCTGGGGAAAGGTGGAGTCTGTGGAAGGCAGAGAAGAGATCACAAAAAGACACACACACACACACACAGAGGCAGACATGGGGGAGTGTGCAGAGTGGGTGTGTGAAGGGAGACAGACAGAAGAGGCAGAGGGAGACAGATGGGGGAGGCAAGTTAGGCAGAGAGAGAGATAGGAAAGGATAGACAGACAGAGGCAGATGGGGGTTTGAGGAAAGAGAGACAGAGAGGAGAGGAGAGGGAAGGATAGACAGGCAGATGGGGTTTTAGTTGAGAGACCGACAGACAGAGAAAGATAGTAAAGGGTGGGCACAGAGAGGGAGAAAGAGAGAGGTGGGGAGGGGGAGAGAGAGAGAGAGACCCAATCTGGGATGGACAGAGTGAAGGCTGGAGCATGTGAGAGGGACAGACTCTTAAGAAAAGGGACAGGAATGCCAGGTGCTGGTGACTCACGCCTGTAATCCTAGCTACTCAGGAGGCTGAGATCTGAGGATTGTGGTTCAGAGCTAGCCCCAGCAGGGAAATCCATGAGACTCTTTATCTCCAGTAAATGACTGAGAAAACACCCAGAAGTGGCTCTGTGACTCAGAGCACAAAGAAGCTCAGGGACAGCTCCTAGGTGCTGAGTTCAAGCCCCACGACCAGCAAAAGGAAAAGAAAAGGGCCAGGCAAATAGACACGGAGATGCTGAGGGGCACATAGGTGTGGGGGCTGTGTAGAATGAGAGATCTGGGGGGAAGGATGGGGAGGGGCGGCTCACCTGAAGGTGGAGCAGGCTGTTCTCCTGGAGGTAGAGGTACTGCAGGCTGACCAGGCCTCGGAAGATGTTGCCGGGCAGGCTGCTGAGCTGGCAGCGGTACAGGTGCAAGGACTGTAGCCGGTCCAGGCCCTGGAAGGTGTCGGGCTCCAGGGAGCGCAGGTGCCGGTTGTCACCGAGGTCCAGCTCCTCTAGGGCCTGCAGATGGCGGAAAGTGCCCGGGTAGATGGTGGAGAGGTTGTTGGAGAAGAGCCACAGGGTGAGCAGGTTGGGTCCGAAGGTGCCCGGCCGCAGCGTGCGGATGAGGTTGTTCTGTAAGAAGAGTCGCTGAGTGCTGGGTGGCAAGGACAGCGGCACAGAGGAGAAGTTATTCGCCTGGCAGCTCACGGTGGGCGGGGAGGAGTAGCAGGTGCAGAGCATAGGGCAGCTGGGGGCCGCGGGCCGCAGCACCAGGAGCAAGAGCAGCAGGCAAGCCGAGGCAGGACCTGTGGGGAGAGTAAAAGCGAAGGCTGCAAGTGCCTCTGGGTGGACTGGGAGGCAGCGGCGGGCCACCAGGGCCTGCTGCGCACCTGCTAGGGCCTGGTGGTGCCATGCTATCAGGGGCACACGCAGAGGAGGGGGAGGCAGCCTGAGTCTTGTTAGGTCTGGTCACATCTTTGTTCTCCAGGTAGCTTGGAGATCTGCAAATCTCTGTCTGTCTGTGCATGCCAGTACTGGGGCTTGAAGTCAAGGCCTTGTACCCTTGCCCGGCTTCTTCTCTTAAAGTTGGTGTTCTACCACTTGAGCCACACCTCCCTGCTTGGCTGTTTGCTGGTTCACTGGAGATAAGAGTCTTGTGGACTCATGGACTTTCCTGCCTGGAGGGACTTCAGACTGTGATTGTCTGATCTCAGCCTCCTGAGTAGCTAGGATCACAGGTGTGAGGCACTGGTATCCAGTGCAGATCTCCTTTTGGATGCATATTTAAAACAACACCAACTATAGCAATAACCTGGAGGATGGTATAGAAAGCACTGTGATATTTAAAAATACTGTTTTATTATTATTATAAAGGAGCTGTACAGAGGGTTATAGTTGTGTGATTTTATTTATTTATTTATTGTCCATCAAAGGGCCTGAACTCTGGGCCTGGGCGCTGTCACTCTTCTTCAGCTCAAGGCTAGTGCTCTACTACTTGAGCCACAGCACCACTTCCAGCTTTTTCTGCTTATGTGGTGCTGAGGGATCGAACCCAGGGCCTCAAGCCTGGGAGGCAAGTGCCCTCCCACTGAGCCACCTTCCCAGCCCCTGTGTGATCATTTTTTAAACGTGTTTGCCAATGACTGTTCTGTCATCCCTGTTGGTATGGTTGCAAGTTTGACCTTGTCTAGAGATCAATGTCAAAAGCCTATTGGTGAAGGTTTCCATCCTCAGTCTTGATGGGCGGGCGGGGAGGGGGGGGAGAGGTGGGGGAAGTCCTCCACGAATCTGCAGGCTTTCCAGTGAGTCCCCGCAGCATCCTGCCCCCACTTGTGACAACCAAAATGTCTCCAGACATCGCCAAATGTCCCCAGCGAGGCAGAGCCAACCCACTCGAGAATGAGTGGAACTAACTTGGGACTTGTGAATCTAAGGCCTCTATGGGCCCAGGATCCAGCCTTGGAGGTGGGGGGGGGGCGGGGCGGGGATGAGGGCTAGCGACCATAGCTGTCCTCCTGCATCATCCTGCCGGTTTTTAACCCAGGAGAACTGGAGCCAGGGACTCTGGAAGGGCCTAGGGGAGCAGCGTGCAGTGGGCCTCACAGGCACCAGGAGAGCTGGGGGTCCTGGACAGGATACAGCTGCCAAGACTCCAACAAGTCAGGATTCCTGGGGGTTGCTTGTGATCGTCATTGTATGTGACCCAGCTCTCCTCATTCAGAGCCATCTTAACTTGTGGTTTTCTCCCCCCCCCCATCCACCCAAGTAATTTGTGAAGATTGGATAGGGTCTCTTCTCTTCCTGCCCCTCCTCTTCTTTTTCTTCTCTCTCTACTTCCTCCTTCTCCCCCTCCTTCTCTTCCTTTCCCTCTCTTCTTTCTCATTTTTTTTTTTTGGTGCCAGCACTGGGGCTTGAACTCAGGGCCTCAGTGCTGCCCCTTTAGCTTTTTCCACTCAAAGCTGGTGCTCTACCACTGGCGCCTCAGTTCCATTTCTGGCTTTTTGGTGGTTCATTAGGGAGAAGAGTCTTACAGACTTGCCTGCCTGGGCTGGCTTTGAACCATGATCCTCAGATCTCAGCCACTTGAGTGGCTAGGATGACCGAGGCAAGCCACGGTGTGTGGGTCCACCCTACTTCTGACACTGATGGAGAATCAGGCCCATGGAGGCCTCAGGATGGAGGACTAAAGCACATAGCATAGATGCCCGAAATTCTATGCTGAGAAGCGTGGCGTCAGCCCTCCATCTCTGTGGGGGGGGGGGGTTTACTCTCCTCTAGCATCTGAAAGTTCTGGCTGAAACTAGGTTTGCAGAAGGATTGCAGAAGGCTTCGGAGGTTTTCTAAGTGAGCCACACCCCTAAAGCCAGGCAGGCTTTCTCTATGGGTGCATGACCACCCCTCCCCTCCGGCCTCTAGCAAGGCACTAAGCAAGTGAGGGGGAGGAAGGGAGGCCTGGCTCTTGGAGCTCTGTGAGAGAGGCCCTGGGGATGGTCCAGGTGTGGGTGATGATGGGTGCCAGACCTGTAGGTCTGCAAGATGTGTTGTGTGTGATCTCTCACACTCAGGAGGCTGCTGTGTGTGTGTGTGTGTGTGTGAGAGAGAGAGAGAGAGAGAGAGAGAGAGAAAGAGAGAGAGCCTGCGTGTGTGTGCTTTGGGGTGACAGAGTGAGCCAGGTCCTCAGTACAGGAGGCACTGAGCAATCAGGTGTGTACCCACCATACCAAGTGGTGCTGATGTCACAGATGCACCCATGCCTGGCTTCCTAGTACCACCCAGTGCCACACCAGGCCCCACGGTGACTGTCCCTGCCTGGTCCTTCCTGGCAGGTATTGTGCTGCATGGTGTGTGTGAGCCGTGTGCTGCCGGCTACCCTGTGTGTGTGCGTGTGTGTGTGTGTGTGTGTGTGTGTGTGTGTGTGCCAGGCCCGTGCGTACGTGTGTAGGCTGGGTGTGATGTAATACTGGGTGACACAGCGCGGCTGTTCTATTCGTTCACACCACCTCCGCGTTTCTCGGCCCTTCTCACCCCCTCCCCCGGGCGGCGGTTCACGATTACTTTCTCCTCCCGACTTTTTCTTTCAGAACCACGTGCTGCGGGGTGGGGGTGTGGGTGTGGGGGGGGGACGTGGAGAAGGGGGTAGAAGATCATGTCTCTCACCCTCTGATCCGAACCAGGCAGAAGTAGAGTGTGGAAATATAATGGCGGGGTGGGGCAGGGGTGTGTGTGTGGGAGGGGGGAAAGGCCCTAAATGGGTTTGCTGAGTGCTGAAGTTTGAGCTTAGAATTGGAGATTTCCCAAAACTGCCCAAAGTCCTGCAGGTTCATTTAATTCAAGCATCTGTGGTGTGGATGGAGGTGACCAATAGAGCCCAGAGAGGTAAGCAACTTACTCAAGGTCACACGGCAAAGTAGCACAGGGTAAGAACCAGAAAAAAAAAAAAAAAAAGACTCTCCTGCTGCCCAGCCAGGGAACTTCCCTTCCTGTCAATCACCCTCGGAGCTCGGCCTCTCCAAGGATTTGACACCAAAGGATGCAAAGTCCTTCTTGGATGTCTTCATTCAGCTTCTAATCCACCGGCAGCGTTGATGGTTAGCCCCCTGGGGGCTTGGGAGGGGCTCTTCCTCCTGCTTTCAGGAAGGCCTGCTACTCTGATACTCCAAGAGAGGCCCGGGAAAGCTGTGTGTGTGTGGGGGGGGGGGCTCCTTTTGGGATATCAGGGTCTCCTCCAGCCTGAGACCCTACTTGATGGTGGCAGGAGACCCTCACCCCCTCCCCATCATCCTTTTTGCCCAGGACTAACTGGCTCTGCGCTTGCTCACAGTCAACCATCCGCTCCTCTTTCCCCATACCATCTCCTGGTTGTCTCCCTATGTCCCCCAGCCTCTATGGTACTCCCTGCCCGCTCTGTGAGGCGGGGGGGGGGGGATCCTGACCTGGGAGGGGAGGGGCCCCTCCATGACAGCTGCTGCGTAACAGTGACTCTGTTGCCATTTCTGGCCCTTGCTGCCGCGCAAAGCAGCTGTAACCCAAGGAGCCTCATCCATAATTCAGGCTGCGGCTCTCACTGGAGGCGAGGAGGAGGGGAGGTGGGGGGCTCTGGGCTGCTCTGCCCCCAGGCTGGGTTGGAGTGCGCACTCAGGCAGAAGTCAGGTTGTGTGGGGGGGGCCGGGTACTGAGAGAGTGCCTTTTTTTGTTTTCCTTTCTTTGTGTGCCCTCCCCGCTTCCTGCCCAGGGGGGTGCCCTCTCCCTTTCCTTCCTCCACCCTCTGCCTCTTCTCTGCCGCTGCTTCCTCTCAAGTTCCAAGCATCCTCCTCTCCATCCCCACCCCCACCTCAGGACCACAGCTCCCCTCTCCTGGCCCTGGCTCTGTGCATCCCCAGCGGGGACCCCGGGACATGATGCACTGAGTGTCAACGCTGGACCGGGGGATGCTGACCTCTGTGGCCATCTAGAGCAAAGCCTGTCCTTTCCCAGGGAACAAGGCTGAGGGCCAGCCAGCAGCAAGAGTGAGTTTTCTGAGTGAGTTGAGTGAGTGCTTTTCTCAGAAGCCTTCCTTCCCTCCACTGCTTTCCAGGCAGGGTGGAGAGGGAAGCCCTTTCTGGCAGCTCCCTCTGCTCACTCCTGGGCCCTCCAAAATTGGCAGGTGAGCCCCAAGTTTCAGGATAGTATAAGGCAGGGAAAGTGACTGAGCTCAAGCACCTACTGTATGCCAAGCAGACTTGGTCATGTTAAGTCCTTTATCCAGAAGATACCGGTTACAATGCCCTCAGCACCCCCAGTAGCTCAACAGACTCTGTGGCAGAGTGAAGGAGGAAGGCTCTGGCCATGAGATGAGCAGTTTCAGCTCCTGTGGTGACTATGACGTGTTACCCTGATGTGTAGCGCAGGTGCCAAGCCCATGCCATGAGCCCCTCTGACCTTCATTTGGGAAACCCTTTCCCCCAACCTCAGGAATCAACACAGACAAGTGCACCCCGATATCCACCCCAAGCCAATCACAATACAATCACAACCACAGTGCTGGCTGTGTGACTGTTTAGGGTCAACGCATGGAAGATATCTGGGTTTTGCTCTCTGCCTTTTTCTTCTCCTGGGCTGCTGACACATTTGTGTATGGCACATTGGTGAATCAAGAAGAGAAGGCCAAGCATGGCCCTGGTGGCTCATGCCTATAATCCTAGCTACTAAGGAGGCTGAGATCTAAGAATTGGGGGCGGGGGGGGAGAGGGGAGTTCAAAGCCAGCCCAAGCAGAAAAGTCTGTGAGACTCCTATCTTTAACCAGCCAAAAGCCCAAAGTGGAGTTGTGGCTCAAGTGGTAGAGTGCTAGTTGTGAGTGTAAAGGCTCCGGAGGCAGTGCTCAGGCTCTGAGTTCAAGCCCAGGACTGGCACCAAAAGAAGAAGGAGGAGGAAGAAAAAGAGGAGGAGGAAAAGAAGAAGAGGAGGACAGGAGAAGGAGGAGGAGAAAGAGGAGAAGAAAGAGAAAGAAAAGGAAGAAAGAAAAAGAGAGAGAAAGAGGAGTAGGAAGAGGAGGGGAAGAGATGACCAGTATCCAGAGATGTGGCCGGAACTGACCAGGGGAGAGAGGGTGGAGGAGGCCGGAATATGATATTGATCCAGAAGGCTGAGGTCCTTAAAGTCAAGAAGTATCCGTTCACAGAGGGACCATAGTCAAGGACTCTGGGCGACCAGCCCTGGCAGTAGCCAGACAACATTCTCCTCAGACCCCAGGGGGAAAAAAGAGCTTAAGGTCACGGGACATGGACCAAGCAGCTGGAGGCCGGGAGCCGGTGGCTCCGGTATGGGGTAGAGAGGTCCTAAGAAAGGAGAGAGGCTCTGGAAGGTCCCAGTAAGAAATAGCACCCTCACACCTCCTAGGTAGCTTCAGGGCTTTGCAGGGCAGCGGCTGGGGCAGGGGGCTCGGGGCTAAAGGGGGGGATGGGAAATGGGCAGTAAGATGGGGGTGGGGGAGATGTAAATGATAGGGGGGGAGGCATGCATGCCACCTCCCCTCCCCCCAGAGGACTAAAGGTTTGAGGCTGCTGCACACAGCTTCTCACTCTCCCAGAATGTAACACCCCAAAATAAGCAGCCACTGTGGGGTGGCAGGATCCAAGTACCACCAGGAGGACGTCTTCTGATGAGGAGACAGGGCTGGGAGATATAAATGGCAGCACTGAGCAGTCAGAGTGCCCACCCGAAGGAGAATTACCACCCATCCTGGAGAGTTCTCACTCACCCGCCACTTCCTTCACAACTACCCTCCAGGACCTGAGCTGAGCCCCCTCAGCAGGCACACCAGCCACTTCCCGAGCGGTGCCATGTGATAGGCGGGCGCTGTGGAAATGGAGGTCTTCCCACGTGGAAGTGGTTACCAGAAACCTCTTTGTCTCAGCCCTGGGCAACCCCCCTTCTACCCCCCCTCACCCTTGGTCCCTCTCTCCCCATCCCTTTCTCTTTCTTTCCTCTCCTCTTCCCTCTACCTACCAACATCCTGATCCAGCCCCAGGCCCCCCACTTCCTCCCTGATCCAACCCTACCTCTCACCACCACCATCTTCCTTCTGCTTCTGATACCCCGTCTCTTTCCATCATGTCTCAGATGTCTCTTCCTCTCTCTCTCTCTCTCTCATTCCCCTTTTCCATTCTGGTCTCCAGCCCCTCCCTCGCCTCCCCATGGTTTCCGTTATCTCCCTCCATTCCAGGTCTCTAGTTAAGTCTCCTTGGCACCTGTGCCCAGGTTCGGGCGCCTCTTCCCCTCCCTTCCTTCGCCTACCTCGGTCTCTCAGGACTCCCCCCCCTACTATTCTCCAAGGAGCTCTACCGTCTAACCTTTATGGGGGGGCCCTCCCCGTCTAACCTTTATGGGGGGCCCTCCCCTCCCCTCCCTTCCCCCAGCCTCCTTCCTCTCCTCCACTTCCCCCGCACACTCGCCCATCTTTTTGAGTTTCTTTCCTTGCGCCCCTTTCCCACGGACCCCCTCCCCCTCTCTCCATCCCCCCCCATCTCTAGCTCCACACCCTTGCCTGTCACTCAATCCTTGCTCGGCAAGACCTCTCTCTTTCTAGCCCCTCCAGCTGTTCCTACCCTTAGGGATTCCCTTCGTGGGGGGGCACACCCCGTTACCTTCCTAGACAGCCCCCTCCCCACACCGACTGACCTCCCAGGTGACTGCAAAGTGCTGAGACACCGGGCCCCGGGAGCTGCTGAGTCGGCGCTTCTCCAGCCGGCCCGAGTCCTCCCGGTGCCCCACAGCGCTGGAGCCCGGACCGCGGAATCATCCCCCTCCCTCCCCGATCCGGCCCGCCCGCCCCCCCCACTCCCCGATCCCCTCGGTCACGAGCTCCAGCCACGCTCCCGAAGGTGCCCACCTCCCGCGGGCAGCCGGGGGCGGCGCGGGCTGCCCCACCCTCGCACCCCGGGAGAGGGGTGCCCTGCCCCCTCCTTCTCCAGGACAACCACCCCCACCCCTGCTCCCCTACTCCCCAGCCCGCTTCCCCGACCTCCCGCCGGCCGGCCGGGGTCTCTACCTTGCAGCAGGCGCCGGAGCCCGGGCAGCATCTTGTCTCCACGCGAGCCGGGGAAGGGGCGGCGGGGGGAGGGCGCTCCCACTCGCTCGCTCAGCCCGCCGGACGGACGGACGGCGGGGACTCCGCGGGGAGGGGGGAGGCGCAGAGCCCGGGGGTCCCCCCGAGGGGGGGGAGGGTGGCGTTGCCTGGCCGAGGGGCTCTACCCTGCGCCCCCCGGGTTGCGGGCTCCGGGAGGAGCCATCGGGAGCTCCCCCCCCCGACGGGACGGGGTGGGGTGGGGTGGGGCGCACTCGGGATGGGGAGGGCCGGGGCTGGCCCGGGGCGCCCAGCCGTCCGCGCCCCCCGCCGCAGCGCTGCCCGCAGGGAGCCGGTCAGTCGGTCCGTGCGCCCCGGCGGCTCGCCGAGGGAGAGTGGGGACAGCGAGGAAGCGCTCCCCCCCCACTCCCTCCCTCCGCTTCCCGCACTCACTGGCTCCGCCCTCGCTTCCCAGCCCGGCGACTTAACCCTTCGCTGGCCGCTAGGAGCACGGAGCGGTTGTCTAGCTTAGTCCTGTCGCGCGCCCGGCCAACCCTGGGCAGTCAGGGCCGGCTGCGTTCCAAGGCCTCGGGGGCTCCGTTGTTTCTAGAGAAATCCCTTCATGGGTAGGGGTTGTAGGGCGCGGAGGTGTTAGGGAACCCCATGAATGAGTCTGATTATCCCCTTCCGACTTGCCCCAACCGTCTCCTGGGTCATTTCCCCGTCTGCCCCCCCTTCTTCCCCCCCACCCCCAGTCCGCCTTGGTGTCCTTTCGCAGTTGTTTCCCTTCCCTTAAGGAGAGCCCCAAACTCCTACTTCCCCTTCCCTTCCCAGACACTCCCGCCTCCAAGATGAGCGCACAAGGACCATCCTAAGAGCGGTTCACAATACAGGAGTTTGTGTGAGCCGAGATCAAGTGCAAAGGAGCGCACGCGCGCGCGTGCAGGTGTGAACACGCAACCTTTTATACCGGTCCAGGGAAGCGGAGGTGTGTGTGTGGGAATCTGTGAGTGTGCGCGCTGGTGAACTGCTGGGTGTCCCCTCCCCTCGAGGCTGTGCACAATTACGCACCAGCTTGGGATGGGCGGTGAGGGTATTAAGTGTGGGGTGCGGTGTGTGTGTGTGTGTCCCTTAAAACATTTACAAGCGGGTGCAACTGTGGGCACGCGTGCCCACCTGCGTGCGTGGATCGGATGTCGCGGGAGTGACCATAACTCCAGCCTACTACAGAAGGCAGGAGAGGACCCCCCTCTCCCCTCCCCCCACCCCGCCCAAGATGGGGAGGAGGTTTGGCTCGAACTTCTGCTCTCTTAGTACAGAAGGGAGGATTCTGGTTTCCAGGGGTGGGGTGGCTCGGCGCACCCCTAGTGCGTGATCGTGTCCGCCAATCGGCGACACGAGCGCCCCCCCTTTGCCGTGGGTGTGGGTCTCCAGCCAGCCCAGAGTGTTTTAACACCCGGCCCTCGAGGACAGGCGTGGGCTTCTCGCCAGGCGGCGTCGGAATCTCTGGAGCGCCCGCGGGTGGCGGGTGCCCGGGCCATCTGCGCGCAGTCCGACTGGCGAAGCCCAGGAACCCTGCGCCCCGCAGCCTCCCCCTGCCCTCCCCCACCCCCCAGCTCCTACTCGCCCGCCGGTGCCAGGGTCCAATGCACCGCGTGGCAGACAGTAGGCGCTTTATAAACGCTGCCCTCATTCTTTCCCATTCATTCTCGGCTCCTACCAGGATCTGTCATTCTGCCCTCGTACTCATTCGATGGCTCTCATCCCCCCACCTCTTATTCATATTTTATGATCTCCATGTCTGCATTATTCCTTCTCCCCCTCCCTCCATGCACCTGCTTCTTCCCCGTCTTCTCTCCCTGTCCTTTAGCCACTGGGGCTGGAGCCGCTGCATCTCGCAGGGGGGCTCTGGCTTTCTCTCTCTCTCCTCGGTCTCTTTCCTCCCTTCCTCTCTTCCTCTTCCCTCGTCCTCTCCTCTTTCTTCTCCCTCCCTCCCCTCTTTCTCCTCTCCTTTCTTCCCCTCTTCTCTCTCTCCCTTTCCCCTCCTCTCTCTCCTTTCTTCTCCCTCCTTCCCATTCTCTCCTTTCTTCCCTTTCTCCTCCTCCTTCTCCTTCCCTTGCTCCCTCTCTCCCTTCCTTCTTCACCCAGTTTCCTTTAGTCTCCCCAGCCCACTTGCACCCCACTGCTAGTACCCCCTGCTGGTTCCACCCCTGCCCCCACCCGGCTCCCAAGGACCCTACATTTCCTCTCGCACCCCTCCCCTGTTCCTAGGTGGTCAGAACACAAAGACGCTGGTGATCTCCGTCCCCAGGGGAAGGTGTGTGTGTGTGTGTGTGGTGTGATGGGGGGCTTTCCATCTCCCCAAGACAAGCAAAGGGCCTTGCACTGCCCTGGGCCCCACCCAGCGGAGGGCCGCCTGTGGGGAGGGGTGTGCGGGGAGTGTCGGGATTGGGGGGGGATTTGGCGTGCTTCCCCGGCACAATCTGTCGCCGGGTTTGTTTGCCGAGCTGCCTCCGGAGCGCGGTGGGGCCGGCTCCCGGGGAGCGAAATATCACAAGATGCGGAGACAGACGCTGCGGGGCGGGTGGGCGGCGGGCTGAGTCAGGTGTGCTGTCACCGCCTCCCGGAGCCCGCGCTCTTCTAAGTGGGGTGGGAGGGGACCCCGATCCCCCCCCCACAAACAGGCAGGCACCCGAAGCCCGATGGGGGAACCCCCATCCTTTTAGCAGCTGCGGGAAGAGGGAGGTTGTCCCTTCCAACGATCCTGGGCTCCGTGCATCTCATTCAAGCCCAACTTGGGGGTGTTCCCTAAACTGTCACCACCCCTCCCGGGTTACCCCAGTATACAGGTTTCTGGGGTTCCTCTAACGATCCGCTGACTCATCTGCTTTGCGCTCACTTAAGACTGCCAGCTTTTTGAGGGCAGGAAACTTCTCATTCATTGCGGAGTTCCAACAGGTGTTCAAGGAAGCATGCAGAATGATGGCTTCCTGCCCGGTGGGCGGATGACTGCTCTCAGTTTACTGAAAACCACTCAAAGCTTTGGGTCTCCACCTTTCCCTCCACCCTCCCACCCACATTTGCAGTCCTCCACCCTACTACCTTCAGGCAGGTGGACAAACGGAAACAGCTCTTCCTTGAATACCAGCTTTCACTAGTTAACCCTCAACCAGTTAGACCCCTTCTGTCCTTGTGACAGTCTACTACTCACTGCAAAGACTGTGTTCATCTCCAGTCACTCAAGAGATGACAGAGTGCTTGCTGGTAGAAGCTGTCGTTATAGAAGCTGTGCATGGTGCCGATTCTTTGGTAGAATCAGAACCTATGTCCCAAAGAGTTGGGCTGCTGCCGCTGCCACCTCCTCCTCTTCCTCCTCTTCCTCCTCCTCCTCCTCTTTCTTTTCTTTTTCTTTCTTTTTCTTTTTGCCAGTCCTTGGGCTAGAACTCAGAGCCTGGGCACTGTCCCTGAGCTTCTTTTGTTCAAGGCTAGCACTCTACCACTTAAGCCACAGCACTACTTCCAGCTTTATTCTGTGTGCGTGGTAATGAGGAATCGAACCCAGGGCTTCATGCATGCTAGGTAAGCACTCTACCACTAAGCCACATTCCCAGCCCGTGGGTTGGGTTTCTGCAGTTCAGTGTGGGGAGATTCCAGGGAGCAGTTGTGTAATGGCAAAGTGTAATTCTGGGTTGGGCCTTAGAATACCATGACTTATCTTTGGTTAGTTGACCAGGCTCTGTATAGGTGTTTGGTCCTTTGGCCTTGACTACAGTTCTGGCCTGCCCTCTGGTGGCTATAGGTGGATATGCATCCCCACTGGGAGCAAATCTGTAGGAAAGAATTGATGGGTGGACTGATGGATGAGGAGCAGGTAGACCAGTTGTCTGAGAATCATGGGCTTGGGAAAAGAGGTCAGGCAGAAGTATATTCTTTTTTGAGTTCTATTTATTAACAGCAGTGCTATTCCCAATAGTCTACTGAGTCTCCTCACTCTGGGGGCCCGTTCTAGTGATTCCCTGGAAACTGCCTGGCTTTTCCTCTTCAACACTTCTTAACTGTAAGCTCACTAATAATTACAATCACATTCATTAGGTGCTTGTACATTCCAGGAAGTAAAGAATGCATTGAACATATGATCTCATGGAATCTTCCCAAAGACACAGTGATACAAATATTGTAAAGATTAGAATCCAGCCAGGTGCTGGTGGATCATTCCTGTAATCCTAGCTGCTCAGGAGGCTGAGATCTGAGGATCTCGGTTCAAAGCCAGCCCGGGGAAGAAAACTCCATGAGAATCTTATCTCCAACACACCACCCAGAAAACTGGAAGTGGTGACGTGGCTCAAGCGGTAGAGCGCTCGCCTTGAGCTGAAGAACACAGGGACAGTGCCCAGGCCCAGAGTTCAGGCCCCACAACTGGAAGAAAAAAAAAAGATTAGAACCCAAGATCCAGGTTACCATTTGGCACCTGCTATGGAGAGAACACTTGGCAGTTAGTACAGGAGTAGAGTGCCTCAGTGGTCAAGTTCATGTTGGGCTCTGCAGCTAAACAGCTAAACAGATGAACTTGGGCCAGTGGCTTCACTGTACTATGCCCCCTGTTATCTCATTCAGCATACTGGAGGGGGAGAATCCTAGGAGTCAGGGCATAGGGTTGTTTGAAGAGTAAATGAGATAAAGCAGGTGCTGCAGATTCTAATAATGTCATCACTTCTGTCTTTGAGCCTACAAGCAACCTAGAAAATTGACATTGCAGCCTAGTTATGACCTAAGGTTATAAGGAGGTGAAAGCTGGCGCTAGGTTTTGGAGCCAGTCTTTAGTTATGATGTCCTCCCCACAGGGCTGACTTTGACTTGGCTTCCCATTCTCAGCCCATGCTAGGGCTGCCCAGGGTGGTGACAGAAGCATAGCCTGAATTTGAAGCTCTAGCTTGGATTCTGCCACTAAATGGCTTTCTAACCTGGGACAGCCTTTGTGAGCTACCTCAGTAATAAGAACATCTTGGATTCGGTGCT